CAATATCACAGTAAAGTGTATCAATGTTTGACATTGGAGAACGAGCTACTTTTTATTTTTATTCAATTTGAAAATTCTGTTTACAAGAACGAAGTTAAAAATGTCAGTAGTTTTCTAAAACTGAAGTTAATTGCATTAAATAAACTTTAAATTAATAATAAAACAAATAAATTTTTTTTAATATTACAAAACTATTTATATTTTCAAATAAGTATTCATTTTTGAAAACAAATTTTTCAAATGAATTAAAAATAATTAAATGTATTTCGTTGCAAAATTTGATGAAAAAGAAGAATAAACTTAAATATTGAAATAAAAATTAGATTTCTCCGTTTTTCTGCTTCAAAGTTATTAGTGTTTAAAATCACAGAAAATTCTCATAAGTTCAACATAAAAGATGAAAAATTTTTCATATATCTCTTCACTGTAAAATTAAAAACTTTGTACATCATTCATGAAAGTACATTGAAAGTATTTTAATATTCAGTAATATTTAATTTAAAAACATTTATTAACCTTCTAGAAAAATAATAAAATATTTAGTTGACGGGCTTTTATTTTTAACATTTTACAGGTAAGTTTATAAAACTCAATTTTTAAATAAAATTTCAGATTCTTTTAAAATATTATAATAAATTAAAGGGAACGATCAGTGAAACTTGAATTTATGGAAATTTTTATTTTTTAGGGGGTGACAATATTTATATTTTCCAACGTTATTCAACACTTTGTAAAATTATGTTATACATTACGAAAAAATTTAATATTTATATACACTTATTTACCTTTTACAAAAAAAACTTTTCGGAAAATAAATAATTTTAAAAAGTGAGTATAATTACCCAGAGAATCCCAGTTTTTTTTAGTTTTTCTCACTTTTCTCTTAAAATGCGCGCAAGAAAAAAGTTAAATTTATCCACATGGTGAAAACGGCCTCCACAGAACTCCAATAAAAACAAGTATAAATTTTGAGAAATGTGCAAAAAAAATTTTGTAGACTTTCACGACATTATGATTTTTTTCTGTGTTCTGACAAAAAATTAAGTTAAAACTTAATATGTTTATAACTTTAAAAGTGTTGAACGATCCCTAAAATTCTTTGGCAAAGAGAGACATTTAATTATCATCCTATAAAAAACGGCACTGATCGTGAAAATGATAAACATTGATTTTAAAATACTTTTTTCTCGAAGCACGGACACTTTTTACAAAATCGGCCAAAACACTAAGGATCCTTATCTCATAAAATTCCTAAATCCAAAAGATTGTGCGAATCCATATAAAAACACGATTGCAAAACGTAAAGCAGAAAAATAATATAATAACAGCAGCGCCACTGTGCTCTCTTTATGCTTCCGCCATCTGACGGCGTCAGAACGTAATGAACCTGTCATTATATTATTTTTCTACTTTTTTTTTGCAATCGCGTTTTTATATCGATTCACCCAATCTTTGGGGACCCTTGCGGATTGTATGATGCGAATTCTCCACAAAATTGTCGTAGCATTCGTGGAACACGAGGTTAAGATTGTGTCTCAAATTTATAAAAAAAAATGATGAAATATATAGTTAAATGATTAAAACAATAAGATTTATGTTTTTTATGATGATTATTGTTAAATAATTATAAAAATTTAATGTTTTTATTAATTTCAATGTATTACAGTTTATTATGAACATTTGTCGATAAAATAATTATAGCCGCGCTTTTTAGAAGGTAGGTAGCACTAATACTTACGAAATAACAAACAAATCAGGTATTAAATGGAATTGATTTCTTTAATTCTTTTTATATCCAGCTTTCTTAACAGGATAATCATTCCAGCATAGCACCATGGATGGTCCGTTCCGTCTTAACCCGAAAAATGGCTACAAAAAATATAAGGTACACTCTTTAATTGGTCGAGGGGATGCTAAGCTACCATCAAATAAAGTTCCGAAAAATTAAATTTTCGAAATAACCGCTCCACAATACAACCAAAGAAATAAGAAAAAAGTCTCGAACAAAAAAGGAACAGCGAACTTTTGATTGGTCGAGGGGATGCTGAGCTACACTCAAAAACATTTATGAAAATTTTCGAAAAATTAAATTTGCGAGATAATCGTTCGGGAATACCGCCAAAGTCTTTAGAAAAAAGTAGCGAACAAAAAATGTATGGCGCACTTTTTGATTGGTCCAGCGGATGCTGAGCTACACTAGAAAACAAATTTGAAAAAAATTCAGAAAAATTTAATTTGCGAAATAATCGTTCGGGAATACCGCCAAAGTCTTTAAAAAAAGTAGCGAATGAAAAATGTATGGCGCACTTTTAGATTGGTCCAGCGGATGCTGAGCTACACTCAAATAAATTTATGAAAATTTTCGAAAAATTAAATTTGCGAGATAATCGTTCGGGAATACCGCCAAAGACTTTAGAAAAAAGTAGCGAAAAATAAATGTATGGCGCACTTTTTAATTGATCCAGCGTATGCTGAGCTACACTCAAAAATATTTTGGAAAAATTTTCGAAAAAATAAATTTGCGAGATAATTGATTCGGAATACCACCAAAGTAGTTAGAAGAAAGTTCTGAACGAAAAATATATGGCGCACTTTTTGATTGGTCCAGCGGATGCTGAGCTAAACTAGAAAACAAATTCGGAAAAAGTTTTGAAAAATTAAATTCGCGAGATAATCGTTCAGGAATACCTCCAAATTCTTTAGCAAAAAGTAGCGAACAAAAAATTTATCGCGCACTTTTTGATTGATCCATCGGATGCTGAGCTACACTAGAAAACAAATTTGGAAAAAATTTCGAAAAAATTAATTTGCGAGATAATCGATCTGGAATACCGCCAATAAAATAGGGAAAAAGCCTCGAACAAAAAATGTATGGCGCATTGTTTGTTTGGTCCAGCGGATGCTGAGCTACACTCAAATAAATTTTTGAAAAATTTTTATTTCATTCCAGACTTCTTGCCGGGATGTCGAAGAATTTAAAAAATCACAAAATTTATTTAGGGGTGATTCTCTCAAAAAGAACAAATTATTTGTTCACAATTTTGGACGAGGTTTTTGTTAAAAAATAATAACATTAATTTCAATTAATAAACATTCTCCCAGCCATACGATAAAATTCAACAAATTTTTATGGGATCACTAAAGAAAATTTCAAAAAAATGGCAAACAACTGAATTATTGAATGAAAACTAGTGTTAAAACTCCATTCCGTAACTCCATTCCGTAACATCAGTTTTTATTCAATATTTCAGTTATTTTACCTTCTTTTAAAATTTTCTTTAGTGGTCCGATTGAAAATTGTTAAATCCTAACGTATGGCTGACAGAATTTTAAATAATTTCAATTAATTTACATATTTTTTAACAAAATATCTTAAAAGCGTAATTTGTCCTTTTTGAGAGAATCACCCTTAGACTTATAAAATAATACATTTTTTTGACCAATATTTCAGTTTAACAAATAAAATAAGATTTGCTTTTGATAAAAAAATTGCTGGAATTATTTAAGGATAGGAAAAAAAAAGTGCTGCTACCTACCTTCTAAAAAGCGCGGCTATAATTATTTTATCGACAATTGTTCATAATAAACTGTAATACATTGAAATTAATAAAAACATTAAATTTTTATAATTATTTAACAATAATCATCATAAAAAACATAAATCTTATTGTTTTAATCGCTGCTGTTATTATATTATTTTTCTGCTTTTCGTTTTGCAATCGCGTTTTTATATGGAATCGCACAATCTTTTGGATTTAGGAATTTTATAAGATAAGGATCCTTGGTGTTTTGGCCGATTTTGTAAAAAGTGTCCGTGCTGCGAGAAAAAAGTATTTTAAAATCAATGTTTATTATTTTCACGATCAGTGCCGTTTTTATAAGGCGATAATTAAATGCTAAAGAATTTCAGAGACCGTTCGAGACTCTTAAATGTACCGTCTAGTGAAAATATTCGTTAAATGTTCGCCAGATAGCTGGATTTTAAAATTATCTAATTATAAAATATTAATTGTATTAATAATAATAATATAATTAAAATAATAAAATCTTTAATTTAAATCAGTTAAATGAATAAATTGATTTAAGAACTTTTAGTTTTCAAAAATGAAAAAAAAAAATAATAATTTCTTAAATTTAGGGACTCACACTTGATTAAACAATTTTTTAGAGACTTTAAATAACGAAATTAATTTTGAAAATAAATTTGGGGAACCGGGTATCGAACACGGGTTCGACGAACGCAAACGCAATACATAACTTTAACTAGAAAATAAAAAATTTTAACTTGTTCATTCACAATCATCAAAAAAGAGAAGGTCGCATAATTTCCGCCGCTAGTGTAAATTAAAAATAGTGATTAAAAAAAAGTAATTTCTTTATTTTTCGCTATTACATAATTTTGTTAAATACTTTTCAATTATACTGAAAGAATTTCTTTATGTAAAATTATAAAATATAAAAAAAATTAAGAATTACTGTCCCTCAAACCTTTATAACTTTAACTTCCTTAGTTTTTTTGTTTTAAATCATTTTTTTCCAATTCGCCAATAGGTTAAAAGATGAATTTTAAACCTTAGAACATACAAAATTCAACGTGGAAAATATATTTAATAAAAATTTATAAAAAAAAAAATGTTGGAAACATTTTAATGCAGATAATTTTTTGATTTAAATCATAATCCTTCGATTTAATTCGTGATTTAAATCATAGCAGTCCAACAAAATATTTCAGGAGATAGTTCGAGAGCATTATCACATATTTTTATTATCTAGAAGAATTGAACGCAGAAATCAACTGATGGATAAAGAATGCTTATCGATTTTCATTAGAATACTAATGGTTCACCGACTCCTTGCAAAATCATAATAATAAAGCACGATTCAACAGCCACTCTGATTGGAACATGTCCTTTCACCGAATTCCAATAACTGAGTAATTATTGTGTGCCATCATTATTTTTTTTATAAATGAATATAATAAACTGAATGATAAACCTAAATGATGTTTTAAATAAATAATCAATTTTATTTTCTTTTTTTTTTAAATATACTGATCTCAGTTTATTTAAATACTTATACTAATAATTCGTTTACGTATTATTTATATAACTGTACAATATTGTTCATTCTCTTTTAGTCAATTATTGTTACATACTTTTTCAGTTTAAAAATTATATAATATAGCCTTTTCAGTCTTACGATGCAGATGAAACATTGGAATTAGTATCAGAGATGGAACTATTTTCTCCTTCATGAAATAATTGTTTATAATGTTGCACATACGTCTGACAATGTTCACCTTTTTGAAACGCTGTCGTATTGTGTAATTTCATATTGCGTTGCTCAAAAAATTCAAAAACCGAATGAAAAAGTAGATTGTCATTTTTTGCTTTTGCAACTTCGAGAAATTTTCTCGCCGACACCTGATCAATTATTCCCACTGATCTAACGTATCTGAATAATAAAAAAGAAAATGTTTGATACTTTTTTTTTTTAACTTGAACTGAATTTTAAAATATATAGGGTCTCTTACCTCAAGGCGGGTAAAATATGTCCTTTTGATAATAGGACTTCAATTATTTCCTCATGTGCATTTCCTAGGCGTTTGAGCATATCTAATGCAAGTTGATGCGCCGCTGGATATAAATTCTCAAGGGAAAGTAATAAACAAGCTAGTGGCTTTGAATCAGTAACAACGTGGTATTGTAACAACTGATGAAGTTGATAATAAGCTTTTCGCTGAACTAAAGTTGTTATAACTAGTTCATGTAAATAGTGTTGTACAGGAATGCCATGCTCTGTCAGAGATCTGTAAACGATCAATAATTATTATCGTTTCATTGTATAATAAAAGTTTTAATAATAATAAAATTATAAAATTAAATTAAAATTTAACCCCAAGTAGCAATAAAATAACATACTAGAAATTTAATTTTCGAGTAAAAAATATATTTATGTAAAAATATTGTCTTATATGAAAACAAAAAAAAAAAAAGAAAAAATATGAAATCAAAGAAATTTTATTCAACTATAAATATATTAGTAAATTATATTATTTATTTATTTTATTTTATATATTATTTTATTAGAAAAAAATTGTTTATTAGACAAATTTTCGAATTAAAATTTCACAGATTTTCTTTGGAGCGCATGATTATCCCATAAAAATCATTAAAATTACCATTTGACAGAATTTTTTTTTATACGAATTTTTATTTAACAAAATTTTTAGCTACCGAATTTTTGTTTGGCAGAATTTTTATTTTATAGTCATTTAATTTACATGACTTTTTATTTGAAAGAATTTTAATTTTATCGACTTTAAATTAACAGAATTTTCATTCAATTGAATTTTATGTGATTCAAATTTTTAAATGACAGAAATTCCAATTCACCGAATTTTAATTTGTCTGAGTTTTTAATTGATAAAATTTTTAAGATGCCGAATTTTCATTTGTCCGAAATTACAAATTGACCGAACAAACAATCGACAAAAAAGATTTCGGAGCAATTTTTTAAAATTTACCAATCACGATTTTCCTGATAATTTCTAATTGGTCAATTTTAAAAATTGCATCGAAATCTCTCTGTCCATTGTTTGTTCGAACATTTGTAAATTTGGAAAAATGAAAATTCAGCGTCTTAAAAATTCTATCAATTAAAAATTCAAAATTTAATGGTCTGATTCTATATTAAAATTAAAAACTAACATAATTAGAGAAATAAATAAATACCTTATATATTCAAGAAGTACCCAAATTATCATTTTTGGCTCTATTGTATTTTCAGGAAATTTGGAAAGAATATGACTGTACATATCACTTTGATCAAGTAATAATTTATATTTCAAATTTTCCGATTCGTCATTTTGATTTTTTGTACTGCTCTGTAAAGGTGTTCCCATCTAATAAAATCAAAAAAATAAAAAATTGCATGATTAAAAATATCAATTTGATTAAATTAACTATAATTTATGTAATTAATTCACAGAATTTCTACAATACCTGGAATACCCAGAATTTTTTTATAATTTTATTTTTTTTATGTAAAACATCAAAATTTCAGTGAATTTTTATTTAAATCATGGAAATTTATTTTTATTTAATTTTTTTATTATAAAATACGAAAGAATTTTCATTTCACCGAATTGATTGGCAAAAATTTTTTATGAAATAATTATTTTTACATTTTGCATTTAATCGAATATTTTCATTTAACTGAATTTTTAATTAGTGAAATTTTCTTTTGGTCGACTTTTTATTTCACCAATATTTAAATTTTAATTAATCGAATTGTCAATAAAATTTTTATTTTCCCGAATTTACTTTTGGTTGATTTTTTATTTAAACAAATTGACATTTTAGATTAATTTTTTTATCCGTTTTCTTTTTATCATAAAATAATTGTGTTATTTAAATTATTATTATATTATGTATTATTATTATTATTTTTTTTAAAAGTAACCTTTAATTATTTAATATTTGTACCTGACACTGTAATTCATTTTCAAGATGACTCCTATAGACGGTATTAAGTTTATCGAAAATAATTGGCATGTCAATTAATGTATTTGGCATTTGGGTCATAAGACTTTGTAAAACTTGAATTAATAATTGTTTCGCATCTTTTCGTTGTAGTAGAAAATCTATAAGAAGTACTTTATCAGATATCAGTTTAATGAATGCTTCCAGTCTTAATTCAATGTACCTAAATAATTAAAAAAATTAATTAGCAATATTAAAAAAATGCAATTATTATTTATATAAGAAAATATCGTATGGGTTTACTTTTTCTAAAATATATTTTCTAATTAATATTTTCATTTATTTTTAAATTATTTTTTTAATGCCTTTTCTAATTAAATTAGTTTCTTAAAAAAAATTCTAAGCACTTGTTATTTCTAAAATATATTTTTCTAAAAACTGAAATATTTTATAAAAAATGTTTTTTTAAATTTTATCATTATTTTATTAAAAAAATCTATATTATGAAAATTTTACTATTTTGGCAGAAAGAATTGAATTTTATAAAAAAAGAAACTTCTTTACAGAAAATAAAAGTAATTGAATTCAGAAGAAAATATACATTTAGAAATTAAACTTCATTAGAAAAAAAAATTGAATTTTATTTAAAAATAAAAAATGTAGAAAAAAAATTAGAAAATATTTCTTTGGAACAAATGAATACCCCAAATAAGAATTATGTAATAAGAATATTACCATAAACAACCTAGTTTTACATCAATTACAATATTTGGTTGAAATACAACCCAATTTGGAGAATCTGTATTTTTGTTTAAGGGAAAATTAATTTTCATCTTAATTCAATTTGTATAGAAATTTAACAATAATTATTCATTTCGAAAAAGATAATATTTTAAAAATATGACAGAAATAATTTTTTTTAATATAAAATTAAACTTACGTCATTCTTTTTTAAATCAAGGTGAACAATTAAAATTCGCAAAAATTCTATTGAAAAAATAAAATTTGATCAAAAAAAAAAAAAAAAACTAAACTTCCTTTAGGGATATAAAAATAATTTAAATTAAAAAAAAATAATCAAACATTGTGTCTGAAAAATTTTTCAAAAATTCAACTATTAAAAAAAATTGTAACAAAAATTCTCTTATCTTTCCATTCAAAATATTACAGAACTTGAAAATTACTGAGATGTAATTTCTTTTTTTAATAAAAATTTTACTAAAAATTGCAAAAAAAAAAATTATACTAAAAAAAAATTTGTTTGAAATTAGCAAATTTTAGCATTCAGCTAAAATTTATTTGACTCAATAAAATTCTTTCTATATTCTAAAAATTGATTATTAAAAAAAATTACCAAAAAAGAAATTGTGTTAATACAAAAAAAAATGGTATATTTAGTTCAAAGAAAACTTTTCTCTGAGTATTTGTTTCACTTTGGCTATAATAGTTCAAATGCTAAGAATATCGAATATTTTTTTAAATAATAAATTGTGAATTTTTTTTGAATTAAATTTGAAAGGATACATAGTTGACATGGTTGCATAACCTGTTCGGATAACGTTGCACCAGGCACTTTTAAATTATAAGGCTTTATTGGCTTGGGAATTGCCACAGCGGTATGATGAATCACAGCTCCATCGCTTACTCCAACAGAAGTAAGCATAATATCGAAAACCATCGACGTCTATTTAAAAAAATAAATAAATTATTTATCCAAAATAAACTGATAAATTGTAAAAATCAATTTTTCATTTAATTTCAATATTCTTTAAATTGCACACTTACTTTTGACGCTTGATGATGAACAATAATTAAATTATCTACAACATTAATAGCAAATCTTCCACTCATATCAAGCCTCAATATATGAGTTTTTTTAATCGTCACCATTCTGTAATGTTTAATGGTTTTAGTTAATATTTTATTTAATATTTAATTATTTATAATTTAATTAATTATAATTTAACATTTAAATTATTATGAAAAAGCTTTCTCTCTTCTTTAAAAATCCGGTAGAAAAAATTAAAAAAAATATTCAAAAATAACAAAATGTCGGTTTTGTTATTTTTGAAAAATAAAAAATTTATTTTTATTGATATTTTATTCTTTGAGAAAAATGAAATTTTTCTTTCAAAAAAATAATATTTTTTTCTTTTTTATCGATATAGGAACCAAGTTAAATTTTTATGGAAAATATTCTTTACTATAAAAACTATTTATCAACAAAAAATTGGAACAAAAAAGTAATTTTTTATAATTTGGTTTTTTTCCTTAGTTTATATATTTTTTTTAATCTTTATAAAGGGTACAACTTTGTAAACAAAATTGTTTTTTTTAAATTGTTTTTTGTACAATTTAAATAAATAAATAATAATAATATTTTTAAAAAAATAATAATAATATAAGTTTCAATAATGAAAAAAATTGAGAATTTTTAAAAACTCACTTATGAACAGTATAAACATAAACAAACGCTGAACCAACAGAACGATTTATTCCCGGTTGATGTCGCAAAACAATTATACAAGGTGTTCCATATAAAACAGCTAATGCTACATCTCTTTCAGAAACTGCAAGTTTTCCTGGTTTTGTTGTGCCAGATTCCACTATAAAAATATTCTATTACAAAATCTGCGCAAAGAGTTGTAATAAATAGAAGAGGAAAATAAACAAAAAAAAAAAAAAAAAAAAAAACCTCAAAAGCTATAAAACTGACTTACTTTCAAATTTTGTTATTTTTTGTAGATTTCCTTGTGTTATATGCAAGGCTTGCATTTGATTGCCCGAGCTTCCCGAAGATAATAAAACTAGATAACTTCGCGGACAGAATACGAACCAGTGGACAGATAAACTCAATGATTTAAGAGTTTTTATACACCGTTTTTCTGGTATAACCTGTGTATTTGAAAATAAAAAAAAATTTTATTAAGAATTTTATAAAAAGTAGTCAATTCATTATATTACATTTTGAAGTTGTTGCGATCAATTTTTAGAAAAAAAAAATGTTAAAATTTAAAAGATTTTAATTCAATTTTTCTAGAAAATTTTTTTGAAAAAAGGGGATTTAAAATATTTTTTAATTTTGAAAAGTACTTGAAAAATCCTACAAAAACCCCTGTTTAAAAATTGAAATTTATTAATTTTTGAGAAGAGATTTTTTTAATTAATTTTTGTTAAAAATTCTTTCTAATTTTTTTAAATTATTTAACCCTTTCAGGAAATATGAACATTTTTTTGTTGTACCGTGCATAAGTTTCTTGATTTTTTAAAACTGAATTTTGGACTACAATTTTTTTTAGTCTAATAAATTTCCAAAAATTAAGTTTTTTCCCATGCAACTTATTTTTAAAATTCAAATTCCAAGGTAAATATATAAAATTTAATTAATTAATTGTCAAAAATTAATTGTACGGATATCAAAAATAATTATTAAGCATTATAAGATTTTCCTGAAAATTAGTCCGCAACAACTTTATCTATAGATGAAATATAATGAATTAACCCAAAAATAATTTTCATCGTCAAAATTGATTTTAAAAAAACGATTGTTTTTCTTTTCTAAAAAATTGAAATTTTGTTTTAAAAATATTCAGGCCTTGGATTGATTTTAAGATACAAAAAAATCGTTTCAGTCGATTTACATTTCAAAAAAAAGTGGAAAAAGTAGTTTTTTTTTATTTTAACAAAATTGAATTGGTTAATGAATATTTTAATTTAAATAATTAATGTTATTAGATATTAAATTCATTTTATTAATTCTGTAATGAGAATAATTCTACAAAAATATTATCAAGAAAATTTATTTCGAATATGTATTTCAGAATCGAACTAAGTTATAAGATAAATTTTCAAAATTTTATTTAAGTAGGACAAATTTCTAAAAAAAAATTCTTAAATTTCCATTTTTATAATTTTTTGAAATCTGATTTAAGCAATTTATTTGAATTAAAAATTTTGTCATAGTTTTTAGTTTTGTTGGTCAAAAAAATTTCAGATAATAATTAAATTTTACAGAACTAAAAATAATTTATCAAATAATTTTAGATAACATTTTTTTTTAAAAGTAATTGAATTTTCAAAGATTTACAATTTAGATTTTTGAAATTTCAAGTGATTTTTAATTTAAAATTTTTGATTTCTGTTAATAAAAAATTTATTAGAAATTGCAAACAAAAATACAATAATTGAGTAGCTGCCTGCAATAACTCGCAGAGCGCTTGGCAGATCGCTCTAACGCCAGTCAAACGTTCAAAAACGTGAAAAAAATGAAAAATCAAAATTTTGATTTTTGAAAAGTGCAATCTTGTAGGACATAAGATGGCGCATCTTTTTTTCCTTCGAGTTTTTTTTGTAGATCAAAAAATAGAGTTAATATATGCAAAACACTTAAAAATTTTATTTCACAAATTTCATTCAATTTTTAAACATAAATCATAGTATCTTTGACAAATTTTTAATGAATCTTATTGAAAATTAATATACATACGTATTTAGGTCCATAGAAGACGACAACATAATCAAAAATATTAAAATCATCAATTGTTTATTTATAATTAATTGTAAATGAAGACTTGTCAATAATAATGTTTACTTACCTTTGTCGACATAAAGTGTGTGGAGAACTTCAGAGTTGAAGAAACTTCCAGTGAGACATTTGTTTATCATAATGTAAGGAAGTTTTTTGTAAAATTGAAAAACAATTTATCAACAACTTTAGAAAATATAGAACGTTTAAGAAAACATGCGCGACGCGCTAGCGAGTCTCCGCGCGGAGAATTGCAAACAAGAGTTGTAGAGAACCGAAAATACAGAAACAAATATTGTCACTACATTCTTAGAAATGTTTTTCAAATAAAATATGTGTTAATTTTATGAAAATGCAAATTAAATTTGAACAACTGTTTTTTTAATATTTACTAAATAATCAATAGTTTTAAAATATTTTGGTGCTTGTATGTACTGTTTGTGCAGTTTGCAAATAAGTTTTTTATTAATTAATATTAAGGTATATCTTTATTTTCTGTTTCTTCATTTTTTTAAGAAATTAGTGTATTGTTACATATCAACAGTGATAGTATGTTGGCTCCATTTTCAAAACATAATATATCACAACATAACATAACGTCCTTCTTAACTCTTGTGTGCAATTCTCCGCGCGGAGACTCGCTAGCGCGTCGCGCATGTTTTCTTAAACGTTCTATATTTTCTAAAGTTGTTGATAAATTGTTTTTCAATTTTACAAAAAACTTCCTTACATTATGATAAACAAATGTCTCACTGGAAGTTTCTTCAACTCTGAAGTTCTCCACACACTTTATGTCGACAAAGGTAAGTAAACATTATTATTGACAAGTCTTCATTTACAATTAATTATAAATAAACAATTGATGATTTTAATATTTTTGATTATGTTGTCGTCTTCTATGGACCTAAATACGTATGTATATTAATTTTCAATAAGATTCATTAAAAATTTGTCAAAGATACTATGATTTATGTTTAAAAATTGAATGAAATTTGTGAAATAAAATTTTTAAGTGTTTTGCATATATTAACTCTATTTTTTGATCTACAAAAAAAACTCGAAGGAAAAAAAGATGCGCCATCTTATGTCCTACAAGATTGCACTTTTCAAAAATCAAAATTTTGATTTTTCATTTTTTTCACGTTTTTGAACGTTTGACTGGCGTTAGAGCGATCTGCCAAGCGCTCTGCGAGTTATTGCAGGCAGCTACTCAATTTAAAAAAGTTTTTAAGCGAAAAATGGTTTCAGATAGTTAAATTTTCGAAGAATATTATAAAAATCATTAAAAATAATTAAATTTCAGGTGAATTATAATTGAAATTCTTAAATTTCAAAAAATTCTAGATGAAAAATTTTAAAAATAATTAAATTTTAAAAGTTTCTAAATTGAAATTTTTGAAAATAATTGAATTTCAAAAGATTGTGTTAAATTTCAGACAATAATTAGGTATAATAAGAGAAATTTTTAGTGATTTTTGTTGATGAAGAATTTATTAGAAATCATATAAAAAAATTGAATTCCAAAAGTTTTTAATTGAAATTTTGAACTAAAATTTTTTGGTAACTTTATTTGCTAATTTTTTAATAATTATGAACAATTATTAAATTTCATAAAAAATTTAATTGAAAAATAATTTAAGATAATTGAATTTGTGAAGAATTTCATTAAAATTATTAAAAATAATTAATTTAGTGAAGAATTTTAGTTAAAAATTTGTTAAATAATAATTGAAAAAAAGAAAATCTAAGGAAGATCTCCATTGTATACTAAAAAAACGTATTTTGTTTAAAAATTTTTTTAAAAATGTAAAAAAAAAAGTCGCATTTTATTAAAAAAAAGTCGGAAAAATTCGTATAATCCGAGGCCTGAATTATTTCGTAATAAAAATTCAGAAAATTTTCTATTTTATCAAAAAAAAAAAAATAATCCAAATCTAGATTCAATATTGACAATGACTATTAAAAATTAAGAAATTATTGTTTCAATTTATATTCAGAGACAATATTTATTAATATTGTTTCATTAATAAATATAATACTTTGTTATTTACGAAATTACGAAATTATTAATTTAATAATTTATATATTCAATGACAAATATTAATAAATATTGCCTCTTTAATTAATATTTTTAAAAAATAATATTCGTTTTTGTGGATAATTTTTTTTTTTTTTTTGATTGTTACGTACGAGAAATAATTCAACTCCATGATCCGTAACAAATAAAATTTCATTTCCATATGTCCAAACAAAACCTAAAATAGAGGCATTTTTTTTGCACGATTGTGAATATTCAACGCCATCCAATACTGCTGCAGATGAATAATTAACAAATTCAACGGAAGATGTACTTCGTTGTATTGCCAAAATATTCATGTCAGGTGAAAATTTAATTGAAATTATTGGACCTTTATCATCCATGCGAAAGCTTATATTTTGATCGGGTCCTTTGATAAGTACTCCTGTGACGCCACCAGATCTTATTGCAAAAACTTGTTGCTTTGAATCATCAAAAAATACATTTGTAAGACAACTCACTGATTCAAATTTTATTGGATCCGATGATAATTGTAAATAATAATCGTCATTTGTTTCCTGTTCCACTGTATCCATTTTTAATTATCACTTATATCGATCACAAAGATCTAGAAAATAAGGTTAATAAATAAATATCTAAATAATTGAATTTTAAAAAATACAGAAATATTCTATTTCTAATTTATATAAATCCTTATTTTTCTAAAAAAATAAAATATAAAATTTAGTGTGTGCCTCAAGTTCTAAACGTTTAAATGAACGAAATAATTTTTTTTTTTTGCTTAAATTTTCAAAAAAAATTACTACTGCAGTGAAAAATAAAAAAGCATATTAAAATTTTATTCAATTATCAACTGTTTTTAATGTAGAAAGCAATAATTTATAATAAATTTTAAATATTTAGAAATAAGAATATGACATTTATAGGTTATATTCAACCATTTGACATATATTTTTTTATTCTTATAATTTCGAGTCTATAATAAATAATATTAATCGCGTTTTAATATATATATATATATATATATATATATATATATACAATAAACAAAGTTTTTATCAAAAAGTAACTAATATAAGTTTTATATCATAAAATTTATAGGTTATAAAATCTACTCTAAATTAATAATAAAACATTTCAGTTTATCGATAGTCAAATGTAAATAATTAAGTAAACATTACCTTATTGACAATTAGATATTCTATTCCGTGCTATTTAAAAAAAATAATAATAATCTAAAATCACTTCAATAAAAGTGACATTTTTTTTATTGACTGTCACTGTCAAATGTATAATCGAGACATTGTATTTTTTGTGAGCACAACTTGTTTTTGATAACAAATTATCACGTGATAACAAATCCAATAGCTTGCGCTCTCTACAATGAACTTTTATTTACAATTTTATATAATACTAAATCGATAAAAAAGATACATACATTACCGATTAACACATCAACACAGTATTCAAATTTCAAGGAGCCCAGAACCTAATGAAATTAGTAAAATTTTATTTAATTTTCATATTTAGTATTGAATCATAATTAACGAATTGTAATTTTTAAAACAAAAAAAATTAAATACTTAAAAAAAATGATAAACGTCGATTATTGAAAAAAAGGTGACATTTTATGTTGTACACCTTAATTTTAAAGACCTGTCATTAGAGGGGAAACCGTTCGTCAAGTGGATTTCTTCTAAACAAGAGGGAGGATGTTCACATAAAGTAATAGTCTTCCTGACGTCAGAACTCGTCTCGTCCCCTGAGATGAGTTTAGTTTTAAAAACAAGAAGCCGGCCATCGTTCACTTGTCGCGATTGTGTTTTGTGGGGTATAAAAAAAAAATTTGAACTTTTTGTTCCGAATGCTATTCTTCATTATCTCAACAAGTGAAATATAAACTATTTTTGTGATTAAAAGAGAAACAAGTTACATTTTCAATATACATATATACGTGCACGCGGTGTGTTTTGTTCCGTGCGTAAAAAATGGACGCCCTGCGTGAGCAGGTGATGATCAATCAATTCATGCTGGCAGCAGGCTGTGCTCGTGAACAAGCTAAACAATTATTGCAAGCAGCTCATTGGCAATTTGAGGTGAGAATTGATTTTTATAATAAAAATAGTCGCAAAACAATTGACAGTATGTTGTTTATTTATTCTCGTGGTTTTTATTGTGTAAACAAAGCAAAGGAAAAATGGCCGCGCTTAAAAGCCATAGTTCAATGCAACTTTCATTTCATTTTTGACAATTGTTTTTTTTTTCTCTATAATAATAATAATCATACTTGTGTTAAATTGTGTTTTATAATGACAATGCTCATACAACACTGTGCTTTCTTTGTTTAATTGTCATCTATCAATTGAATGACAATATTTTCGATTGGGCGGTAACATTGTACGTCCATATTTACTTCTTTCCGTCAATGAAGATCTACGATACTCGAATGTTTACGAGTCTCTCTCTCTCTCTCTCTCTTTCTCCATTCATAAAAATCGTAGAATTATTTCAAAACAAATAAAATTTGTTGACAGTTTCTAGGAAAATTCACTAAAATTTATCATGTTTCAATGAATTTGAATTTATAAATTAGACTTGTTGACATTATTTCATTCATAAAATGCATCTCGGTCGATTTGTTTGTCAACAGACTTGATTCCTTGAGGTGTCATTATTTTGTATAGCGCATTGACCTTGTTTGTTTGTAGTATTTACAAAATTTTAATTATAAATTACATTGTTGCAAATATATTTAATTGAAATTTTTAATTTTTTTTTTTTATTTTTCTATTAAATGTTTCTGGGCATTAAAACATAATAATTAATAAATTATAATAAACTTTAAAAATTAGTTTTGAAACTTTAAATAAGGTATAATTTTTAATATATAGTTATCGATAAAAAAAACTTTTCAAGTTTACTTCTTACTTTGTAAATTCTTTTTTATATTTATATAATTTATTAAATAATTACTCTCCAGTGGAATTAGACGATAAATAACGTTCAACTGATATTTATGTTGTGAGAGACTAAAAATTAATTAAATTTAAAAAGGAATATAAATGTAATATCATATTGATGATAAACAAAAAAAAATTTTTTTTTGCAATGTAAACAAAAAAATATAGACAGTATATGATGATTAATGTTTGACCTTTGAATACGATAAAACATTGTAGAATTGAATTGAGTTATGTAATAAGTGGGGGATTCCCACAGTGGTGAACTCACGAATCACAAAGTTTTGTTGCAGGTTGCAAATAGTCATCAAACAAGAAATTTTACTTGCAAATTACAATTTTGTATAATATACTACGTGTGACACATCATATCGATTGGATTTTAAATTTCTTTTTCATTAAATTAACAATGTACCTTTACCTTTTACAGAGGACATTTTTATTTTAAAATTGTAACTTTAATTATTTCACATCTGTTTATTATACAAATTTGTTTAAATGATAAAAATTTCATATTATTTACAATTTTGTTTTTATCATTTAGTTTTTTAATTTTCGATGAAATTGTTTTAATAAAAAATTAATTATTTTGTAAAAATTTATTCTACTTAATTTTTCTTTTTATCTTCGCGTTTTTAATTTTGTAAATCCGTTTTGTTGTTTGAGTTGAGTTTTTTTGAGGTTATGTTATCAATAAACTTGATTTAAATCAAAAACAATTTATATTTTAGTGTATAGCTAATTAATTAATTTTTTGTATTCTTAATGAAAATAGTAATTTTTAATTAAAAATATTTTTTTAGTAAAAATGTAAGCATCAACTTTTAAAGAAAATTGTTAATTGTTAACAAAATTCAAAAATTTTAAATAATTGTGTAGAAAAACTTTCAAAGAGAAAAATGAGCTATTGTTTGTATTTGATAAGAATTTTAATTATTCACTATAGTATTTTAAACGAAAAACACAAAAAAAGGCCTCGGATTATATACGACTTTTTCGTCTATTTTCGAATTTTCCGACTGAAATTGCCAAAAAATTTTAATTCAAAATCATAAATCAATTCAAAATGTTTTAAAATTCAATTATTTTCTAAATTCTCAATTTAAAATCAAATAAAATTCAATTATTACCCAAAATTTCAATTCAAAATCAATTAAAATTCAATAATTACCCAAAATTTCAATTCAAAATCAACTGTAATTCAATTATTCTCAAAAATTTCAATTCCAAATTAATAATTATCAAAATTTTCAATCAAAAATCAACTAAAATTAAATTATTATCCAAAATTTCAATTCAAATTCAATTATTTCCCAAAATTTCAATTTAAAATCAAAGAAAATTCAATTATTTACCAAATTTTCAATTCAAAATTAATTATTATCAATATTTGCAATCAAAAATCAACTAAAATTAAATTATTATCAAAAATTTCAATTCAAAATGAATTATTATCAAAATTTCAATTTAAAATCAAAGAAAATTCAATTATTTTCAAAATTTTCAATTGAAAATTAATTAATATCAAAATTTTCAATCAAAAATCAACTAAAATTAAATTATTATCCAAATTTTCCATTAAAATTCAATTATTTCCCAAAATTTCAATTCAAAATCAACTATAATTCAATTATTCTCAAAAATTTCAATTCCAAATTAATTATTATCAAAATTTTCAATCAAAAATCAACTAAAATTAAATTATTATCCAAAATTTCAATTAAAATCAATTATTTCCCAAAATTTCAATTCAAAATCAAAGAAAATTCAATTATTTTCCAAATTTTCAATTCAAAATTAACTATAATTCAATTATTCTCAAAAATTTCAATTCCAAATTAATTATTATTAAAATTTTCAATCAAAAATCAACTAAAATTGAATTATTATCCAAAATTACAATTAAAATCAATTATTTCCCAAAATTTCAATTCAAAATCAAAGAAAATTCAATTATTTTCCAAATTTTCAATTCAAAATTAACTATAATTCAATTATTCTCAAAAATTTCAATTCCAAATTAATTATTATTAAAATTTTCAATCAAAAATCAACTAAAATTGAATTATTATCCAAAATTACAATTAAAATTCAATTATTTTGCAAATTTTGAATTTAAAAGCTTCTAAAATTTTTCATCGAAAATTTTTTGAAATTTAATCATTTCAATTGTAACTTTAAGGAAATTTAATTATTTTTAACAATTTTTATAATATTCTTTGAAAATTTAACTATCTGAAACCATTTTTCAATTAAAAATGGATTTCAAATTATTGTATTTTTGTCCGCAATTTCTAATCAATTTTTTAGTAAAATCATCAAAAATTTTAATTAAAAATCACTTGAAGTTCAACTAATTTCAAAAATCTTAATTGTAAATCTTTGAAAATTCAATTAGGTACATTTAAAAAATCAAAATTGTTATATAAAATTATTTGATAAATTATTTTTAGTTTTGTAAAATTTAATTATTGTCTGCAAATTAACAAAATCCCGTAAATAAATAAATAAATAAAATCATTTGAAATTCAATTATTTCTAAAAAGTTCAACTTTAACCCTTCCAAAAGTATTATCAGGGTTAATAATAAAAAAAACCAAACTAAGAAATAAAAATTTTAGAAATTTCATAAAAATTTAATTTAAGTTACAAAAATTCGATTTATCTAATTTTAAAATAGTTTATTTTTATTTTTAAACCATGATTTTTTGTATTTTATTTATATACGTGTGTTTACATATATTTACAAGATTGTTTTAGTCACTACTTTAAATTAGTTACAGTTTTCATTGATTCAATTTTTAGAAAATGTAAAATTGCTTTTTAGTCTAAAAATATAATTAAAAAAAAAATTATAATTTTATAAAAATTAATAAATAATGTAAAAATTACTAAATTTCCTTTATAAAAATAAAAATATTGCTTTTGTATTATTTTTATCGTTTACGTATTTATTAATAAAAAAAAGGAACTACTTAAAAACGAAAATTTAAAAAAAAAATTATGAAAATAAAAATTCTAATTTAAATTACAAAAACACGATTTTTTAAATAATTTGATTTTTATTTTTAAATTACAATTTTTTTTTGTTTTATTTATATATTTAATTTTCACATATTAAAAATATCGTTATAGCTATAAAACCAGTGGGTAATTTTTATTATTATTAGTGTGATATTTAAAAAAAAATCGATCAATTATAATATTAAATGTATTTCTAAGTTCTTTGGCATGAGGGTTCTATGAAAAAAGAACAAAACTTTTCCTTTATTTCATACGTTTCGGCAACTGATGTGTGCCTTCGTCAGTGAATATTTATTAAAGTATCTGTAATGATAAGTACAAATGTAACTGTAGAGTAATGTTCAAAATTTAGATATTGTCCATATTTTAATTTAGTTGTTACAAAATATGAAATTAGTATAAACTATAAAATAAAAATAACGTCGAATTCATAAATAATAGATTTATATAAAAAAATTTTTAATTGAATTTATAATAGAAAATTATATCCAAAGAAGAAATTCCTTGCCAACAATTTGCAACTTACAATCACATGTTTGAAGAAAGTTTAATGTAGATAGAAGTGGTACTATTGGAGCATAGTATGAATGTATTCCAATTAGTTGTAACACTGCACAACACATATATTTCAAATATTTTACACATTTTATTTTATTTATTTATTTTTGAGAGAAGTATCAATTAATAATAATTTTGACGAAAAGACAAAATTCTTTAAATGCTTTCGCCTCGACTTTTCCGAGGATACTGAGTTTTTGGGAGGTTTTGTATACTTTTTTGTGATATAGAAAAACTTTATGATATTGTATTAGTCATGTGAAGTTGGCACCAAAATCTCAAAAAATGAAAAATCCACAATAAGTTCTGGGTAGATTATCAATAGTTCTAGAGTTCTATAAGTTTTAATTCAATAGTTCCGTAAATTTTGACCAGAAAACATGATATTAAAAAAATAAGGTGCTAACTTCACCCAGCACTATAAATTTCGCAAAAAAGAGTTCTGACATATTATTCCGATAGAAAATACAGAGTTCTAGAGTTCTCTTATAAAACAAAAAAAAGTTCCGCAAAATTTAAAAATTTTGAAAAATTTAAAGTTTTAGTCAATTTGA